GTGTTGTGTGTGTGTTGTGTGTGTTGTGTGTGTCGTGTGTGTTGTGTGTTGTGTGTGTTGTGTGTGTTGTGTGTTGTGTGTGTTGTGTGTGTTGTGTGCGTTTGTGTGTTTGTGTGTTTGTGTTGTGTGTGTTGTGTGTGTTGTGTGTGTTGTGTGTGTTGTGTGTGTTGTGTGTGGGTGTGTTGTGTGTGTGTTGTGTGTGTTGTGTGTGTGTTGTGTGTGTTGTGTGTGTTGTGTGTTGTGTGTGTTTTTTTGTATGTTGTGTGTGTTGTGTGTTGTGTGTGTGTTGTGTGTGTTGTGTGTGTTGTGTGTGTTGTGTGTGTTGTGTGTGTTGTGTGCGTTTCTGTGTTTGTGTGTTTGTGTTGTGTGTGGTTTGTGTGTTTGTTGGCAATCGGGAGGAGACGGCGAAGAAGAAGAGGCAGGCCAGGGCCGGACAGGCGGGCATCCAGATCCACGTCAAGCATGGCGCGGTAGAGCCTCGGGCGGCCACGGCCGAGGGTGCGGCGCGGCGCCCCCCGGCGAGGTCGGAGAGCCACGAGCGCTGCAGGGCCAGGGATGGCGACCTGAGGACTCGAGGGAGGACGAACGACACGGCATACATCAGAGCGTGAATTACCTACCCCGCGTTCGCTTCCAGGCAAAACCAAGTCATATTACGCGCCTCCTCGTCAAGCGGCCTCACCAGTACAGGCCGTAGTTTGGCACCGCTTGGTATCTCTTGGAAGCGAGGGTGGTCAAAAGCGAGGTAGGTTTGCCCCCTAAAACAGTCGACTACACGTAAGATCGAGAAGAAAAAACGCCGCAGACATAATTTGTGGGCGCTCCGCGCGGGTTTCTTGGATCCGCGCTGGGCTCCCCTTGGTGGCGCCTCCGGCGCCACCCCTGGCGCGCCCCGCGCGCCCTGGAGGGGGGCCTCCGCTTAGATCCAAGAGAGCCGCGCGGACCGTCAAACGTCTATGTTTATGCCGTCTTCTGTTGCTCTAAGCTTGGCATCGCTCGGACGTGTGCGTTTTTTCCTCGGCGAGGACACTCGAGGAGCATCCTTGATCACATGGCGAAAAATCCACGCAAGAAACCGAAATAAAAACAGGGCATGGACGTCCGAGCGATGGCCAGTAAGACAGTTGACTACACGCAACAGTGACCTTTCGTTGGAGTGACCTTGGGTGCGGGCCCCACGGGGCCCCCCGATCGCCGGGCGCGAAGCGGCAGCGGCGGCCTGCGCGCGGCAGCAAGCGAGGGCCACTCCGGGCTCCCGCCGGGCTCCGCTCTGCGGGCCGGTCCTCGGCTTCCGGGCGGGGGCTTCTGCGTGGCCGAGGCCCGCCAGGGTCAGGAGAGGCCCTTCGTTCCTCAGTCTTGGTATGGCTCGGACGTGTGCACTTTTCAGGAGGAGGAGGAGGACCAGTGTAAACATGTAGGGCCCTATGAAGAGGGACAAGCTCCCTCTTCACAGGGCCCTACAGTACAGGAATGTATTTTCACGGCGGGAAATACCCCATTGCAAAACAAATTTCTGAGAATCCTCAAGTGTGCCAAAATGCCATTCCTGGAACTTCATCGTCGCGAATTAACGCGACGGTTGCGTCCTGCCAGTCCTAAACCGTGTCAGAACACCATTCCTGGGGTTTCATCGGCGAGGACCATCGAGGAGCATCCTGGATCATCCTGCGAAAAATCCACGCACGAAACTGGAAAAGGCACAGAGAATGGACGTCCGAGCGATGGCCAGCTGGTCACATGACCATATCAGGGGAACGAACCATGTCATAAACAGAAAAGCTCGGAGGGTCGCGCGGATTTTCTCGGATACGCGCTGGACCCCCCTGGCGGCGCCTCCAGCGCCGCCCTTGGCGCGCTCCGCGCGCGGGGGAGGGTGGTTCAGCGCCGATCCGAGAAAATCCACGAGTTGTTATGTGTATGTCGTTGCTCGTTCCCCGACATGTGGTGGCACGATGTCTGTACACTCTCGGAGGCCCGCGCGGACTTCTTTGATCGGCGCTGGGCACACCGCCGCGGAGCGCGCCAGGGGCCGGAGGCGCTGCCCGGGAGGGGGTGTCCAGGGCATGTCCAGGAGATCCTTGCGGACCTCCGAAAGTTCCCCAAACTCGAGGGAAGAAGCACGGCAACCATGACCAAGATGTCGCGGGATCTTCTCGATGCCAGTCTTGGTCATGGTCCATGTTTGCCGTCGCCGATTCGCGAGGATGATCCACGAATCGAAGCTGACCAAGATGGACGGTGACCAAGATCGACACGACGTCTCCGCGTTCAGTCTTGGTCATGGTCCCGTTTCTCTCGCCCTCCATAGGCAGCGAACGCTTTCGGAGGTCAGGATTGTTTTCAGGAGGTGCTTCTGGGCTGGAAGGTGCGGGGAGCAACTGCCGCCAACCGAAGTAGTCCGCGCGGGCCTCCGAGAGCGCATGTATGTGCCGTTTTTCCGTCCTCTATACTCTAGGCCTCCTAGATTGGGTCCGACTAGATGGGGTCGGAGGATTGCGCCACATCGCCGATGCATCGGCGATGCGGCTCGATGTGGAGCCCGACTCTCTCCATGCCCGCGTCGCCGACGCATCGCCGATGCATTGGCGATGCGGCGCGATCCTCCGATCCCATCTACAGGGACCCCATTCTAGGAGGCCCCTATACATACAGTCGAGCATCTGATTAAGAAGCCTTCTCCCGGAAAGCTGGGCCAGCGTTTCTTGACCATCTTGCCGCAAAGTTGGCCCAGTTTCTTGAGCGCGTTCGCCCCTCCAGCATTCACACGGACACTTGGCCCATGTTTGTCTTGGGGAGCTTCCAGAAGGCTGGCCCAGGTTTCTTAACTTACAGCTCTCTTGATCAGATTTTCGGCTGTAAGGTTAAGTCGGGCCTGTCCCTCTACGGGGGGAAAGAACAAAAATAGTCAGGAACTAGTCTGGGGACGATTGTTTGAGTACTCTTTGACCCTTTGGGGGTATTTTTAAGGTATTTCTTATTTTTCGTCCAAAATCGCCCTGTAGGGGGACAGGCCCAACCCAACTGCAAGGACGAGCGGCCGCGGCGGGGAGCGCCCGAGGGAACGCCGGGAGCGCCCGCCCAGGGACCTCGCGGCGGCCAAGAGGAGGGGCGTGGAGCTCGTGCGGCGAAGGATGGCGGAGGCGGTGCAGAGGCAGCGGGCGCAGGACGGGGCCCGTTTTTCCAGGGGAGCGAGCAATGGCATGAATAGAAAAACTCGGAGGTCCGCGCGGGTTTCTCGGATCGGCGCTTGGCCCCCCTCCCTGGCGCGCGGAGCGCGCTAGGGGCGGCGCCGGAGGCGCCGCCAGGAGGGTCAGCGCGGATCCGAGAAATCCGCGCGGACCTCCGAGTTTTTATGTTCATGTCATTGCTCGTTCCCCTAATTTCGGTCCGACTCAGCCTGATTCGACATCGGCTCCGGATGGCTCGATCTGCCTCGATTCCGACGGCCCGTCGATCCGGCCCGATGCCGGCATGGCGAGCCTGGTCCGAGGGAGGCAGCAGTTGGCAGCAGCAGCTGGCACTCTGGGGGGCAGGCTCGTCGATCCGATCCGACCGACACCGGCCGGACGGTGGCCACGCCCTGCAGGAGGGGGCGGACGAGGCGGCGGGCCCCCCAGCCCGCAGCACGAGCCCCAGCGCCCGCAGCAGGAGCCCCGCGGGGCGTGGCGCGGCGGGGAGCTCGGCGGCGGTCGCGCGGGCCCGCGAGGCGGCGAAGGGCAGGGCGCAGGGCCGGGAGGCCTCGCGGAGCCCCATCGCGCGGGCGGAGGCGAAGCGGAGGGGCACCGTGGGGAGGAGCCCCATCGCGCGGGCGGGGAGGGGCCGGGCGGAGCGCAGCGCCGGCGGGGGCTCCCGCGAGAGGAGCCCCATCGCGCGGGCCAGGGAGGAGCCGAAGGAGGCCCGCCCCGAGGGCGCGGCGGGGGGCGGCCCCGGCGCCGGGGGCGCCGGCGCCCCGCGGCGGCCCGCCGCGGCCAGCCTGAGCCCAATCCAGCGGCGCGGCGGCGCCGCCGTGGCCAGCAGGAGGGCCGCAGCGGCGGAGGCTCGAGGGCGAGTGACTCAAGCAGTGGCGAAGCGTCTCGGCTTGCTTGTAGGCCCACCAAGGGATGTTCTGAGAACCTTTCGTGGCTTGCACAGCATGTTCTTGGAACGTCTCTGGCAGAGACTGTCTTCTTGTTTCAGTGCATCGGTTTGACGTTATGAGAACATTGTCTTTGCTATCGGATCGTTTTTCTGCTCTGAGAACATTACGCGGTAGGCCGATAGGAATACCAGGACGGTCGGTCCCTAACCACCGAGCGCGTTCCGCTACTCGCAAAGTGCTTGCTCGCAAACGTCCAGAAGCAATGTCTTCCTTCATGTATAATGGATCGTAGATCCTACGCGGCTGGTCCAGGCCACTTGCGAGTGCAGTTGCTCTGTGAGTAGTGAGACGCGCTTGCCTACCTAAGCAGCTCTTCGCAGTTGCACGAGGGGGCCAGGGGGGCACGATGGGGAGCCACGGCCTGGTGCCGCAGTTGCTCAGCAGCTTCAGGGCCCCAGCTCCCTCACTGGGCGTCGCACAAGCATCGCACAGAGCCTTCGCAGACAGACGGGCTGTCAGGGAACATGAACCAAGCCGATCGGCGCGGGGCCCCCCCTGGCGATGGCCCAGCGCCAGCGGGGCGGGTGTACCGCGCCGATCCAAGAGAGAGCCGCGCGGACTTCTGAGACTCGTTGGGCGGCCAAGAAAAGCCGCAGGACGCGGCAAAACTGCCCCAAGATGTCCCCAAGACGATCCTCGAGGGCTCCTTATCGCTAAAGTATCCGTAGAAGTCGCCAAAGTAGTTTCCAGACGGCACAAAAAGTTCCCGCAACGCACCCTGAAGCCTCCAAGAGGACTTCCAAGTGCCGTCGTTGGAGCCCCCGATCTGAGGCCGGGGGCGCACGGCGGCCGGAGGCGCGGCGGCCCTCGCCGACGCCTGCGCGCTCGCCGGCGCGCGGCCGGGAGGCGCCCGCCGAGGAGGGCGAGGACATGGGCCCGCTGGCGGGCATGCCTGCCAACTTCGAGGACGAGATCCTGGCAGCCTTTGACCGCGCCATGGGCGAGAGCGCCGCCGAGGGCGGCCAGCGCCAGGCCGCCAGGCCACCCGGCGGCGAGGCCGCGGGCCCCGGGGACTGCGCGCTGGCGTCCGACGCCGAGGCCGAGTTCGGGGATATCGTGGCCGCCTACGACCTGGCCGCAGCGGTCCACGCGGCGCGCTGGGGCGGCTCGGCGCAGCGCGGGAGGCGGAGCCTGAGCCCGACGAGGAGCGCGGACAGGTCCAGGAGCCTGGGCGCCCGCGCCCCCGAGCGCGGCCGCGAGGCGAGCCCGAGCCCGGGCGCCCAGGGGCGCAAGAGGAGCTGCAGCCCCAGCGGGCAAGCAGCCAGCCGCGAGAGGAGCCGCAGCCGCGTCGCTCGCGCGCGTGGGCGAGGCGGGCAAGCGGCCAGCCGCGAGAGGAGCAGCCCATGCGCCCGGGCCCTCGAAGGGAGCCGCAGCCCCGTCGCGCGTGGGAGCGGGCGAGATGGGCAAGCGGCCGCGGGCGTCGCCGCCAGTGCGCCGTCCAGAGCGAGAGGCCTGGACTCCAGAGGGGCCCCTCCGCAACCCGCACGACTGGACGCCTCGCCGGCCCAGGGCGCCTGCAGTGCCCTGGGCCCCCCCGCCGGCAGAAGGGCCTACGTCAGCGACGCATGCCGGGACGCCTCACCAGCCCAGGGCGCCTGCAGTGCCCCGGACTCCCCCACCAGCAGCAGAGCCTTCGTCAGTGACGGCGAGCCCACCCCCCCGTCCGACTCGGAGTCGCCGCTGCACCTGTCCATGCCGCAGGCACCAGCAGACCCGCGAGAGCACCCGTGGCCCCCGCGGGCGGCGGCCGTCCGCCCCGGCGCACGGGAGGACACGAGCGAGGCAGCTCATAGGAAGCGGGCCGAGCCCCAGGCCCGCGGCGCGGCCGCAGAGGCGTGTGGCCAGCCAGTCGTGAGAAGTCCCGAGGCCGCTCCAGCTCGGCAGGCGGCGGGTGGCGATGCCAGCGCTGTCGCTGCCGCCCCGGCGCACGGGTCCGCCCGAGCGCGGCCAGCGACGATGCCGCGCGGCGACCCGAGGAAGAGGCCTCGTGCCCCAACGGCGCCCGAGGAGGCCCTTCCCGTGCCGACGGACGTGCTGGTGCCCGTGCCGGCCAGCACGCCAGCACCAGCAGGTCCTGCCATTGCCGCGCGCGCTGCCCCCGACGCCGCGGCGAAGCGGCGGCCCTTGCACAACGAGGCCGCCGAGCGCCTGGCCAAGCGGCCCGCGCCCGCCGAGGAGCGGGTGCCAGCGACCGCCACAGTGCTGGCCACCGCTGCGGCGAGGGGGGGCCCTGACGGAGCTTCGAGGCAGCGGGCGGTCGCCGCCGGCGCCGGGGCGCAGGAGGAGCAGCCGCCTGGGCCTGCGCGACAGCAGGGCGGCGCAACCGCCGCAACGCCACAGCCAGCGGGCCCGGAGCAGGGCGCTGCAGCGCCCCAGCGGCGGGCCGCTGCGGCGCAGGCGGCGGCGGGGGCGCCCCCGCGGCGAGCGCAGGCGACGGCGCCTCGGGCAGCGGCGCAGGAGGGGCACCTCAGGGCGGCCGCACAGGCCGCGCAGGAGCCGCCGCCGTCCCGCGACCGCGCTCGGTGCGATCGGGATGATGGGTACGCACACGTTGTTGATATCTAATTATTCGAAAGTTCTTTGATTTTTTGGGGGCCAAGATCCGTTCGTGTCTAATTGTTCTATCCTGGGTAATTTCCTGGCCTCTAGGGGGCCAGGAACAATTAGAAACGAGCACAATTAGAAATGAGCACGATTAGAAATGAGCGACGTGTACGGAATGTCAGGGGGGGCGAGTTGAGACGACGGTGCAGTGGAGACCCATGCCAAGAAACACCCTGCTTGCCTCCAGGGTGTCCTGGGTTTCTTGGGTCTCGATGTCTTACGCCCTGGGGTCTCGGGGTTGGGTCTCTTGTGGAAGGTTTCTCATGGGCTGGCCTCCACTGCAGTTGGCTTTCGGGGGGGGGGGTCCTCGCCGCCAGCGCGGCTGGACCCTGGGAGGGACCTGGGGGCCGTTTTGAGCTCCCGCTGTCTCAGCTCGTTTTGCTCCGAGAATGAACGGGGACGAACAGTGGCAGCAGTTCCCATTTTGAACAGGACCAGCTGTCGGTGCCGCCGCGAGAGTTGTCCGTTTGAGACAGAGCGCTGCTTGTCCAGCAGCCGCCGCCGTCGGTTTTAGACAGCATGTGTTGTTTGGCATCGTGCCCACTGATTTCGTACTCGTCTCGGGCGTCCAAATGTTTGCCCTTCCGCCCCCCACCTCCATGGGTCGCAGAAAGATCACATCTTCGGGTTTTCAGTCATTTCCCACTTCTGGGGGCCCTCACCAGGCTCGGGGATTGTCCCACTAGAGATCTCATCCATGGCTCAGGACCCGAAGTTCCACAGTGTGCAACAGTTGCGCGGAGTGAGGGCGGCTCTTTTTCCGAATTGGGCTCCCGCTCGAGATGCCCTCGAACCTCAAGACCAGAGTTGCACGCAACGCTGGAACGGATGGCGTGCAGATCATTATCTGAAATGTGTGCTCCTGGTGGACACGCGCATGGACTTTCTGATTATACTTGTTCCGTTTCTCATGTTTTGAACAAATGTATAGGGTGATTATCCTTGACAGACGGGGTCTGACTAATGAGGGGACTTTGAACGGGAGGGTATATTGCAGCATCGTTAGTGCATCTTGGGTTCACTCTGGTCCCTCATCGACCCCATAAGACCTCCCCCTCTCTAGCTCCGCCCCTGTCCTCCTCCCCAGAGATCCAGTGCCTAGATTTCTTCAACGAAGGGCTCGACCCTTTCACCTGGGCCCGCGTTTCATCCCCAGCTGCTTCCCAAGCCCCAGGGCCCTGCCAAGGCCCCTGGAGAACGAACACAGCGAAAGCTTCCGCGCTGTGTTAAACACAGCGCGGAAGCTTTGATCAAAGAGTGAGACCTTGAGGTCCAGCGTTGCGAGAAAATTGCAACATCGCGAAGATCACGAACAGAACTCTACACCCCATCTTCCTGCAGCATTTATCGAGCAGGAGTGATCAGTGATGGTCCTTAAGGGTTGTCAGCCACTCGCAGAAGGGGGTTAGGGGGAGGGAGGAAGGCGTCTTAGAAGCACCCCTGCCTCTTTGAAGGCGCCGGCATCCTCTGTAAATGTAGGGCCGACGCCTTCTAAGAAGCACGCCCCTCCTAAGAAGCATTGTGTCACTGGGGGTGGTTTTTCAAAAGCGGTCCGCTACCCTGCTGCCCTGTTACCTCGCTGCTACCCTGCTACCTCGCTGCGGCCTCGCTGCCGAGCAAGGTAGCAGGGTAGCAGTGTAGCAGGGTAGCGGGGTGGCAAGGTGGCAGGGTGGCCGGGTAGCGGGATAGCGGGGTAGCACGGTAGCAGGGTAGCGGGGTAGCGGGGTGGCCGGGTAGCGGGATAGCGGGGTAACAGGGTAGCAGGGTAACAGGGTAGCAGGGTAGCGGGACTGGGGACAGGGTCGCACGGAGTCGCCGTGACTGGGGACAGGGTCGCCGTGATTGGGGACCTGGATATGTGGACAGGTATCGCCTGAGTGGGGACACTTTGGCTATTTCTTACATTGTTCTTCATCTCAAGGGTAGGCGCTTGTGTAGGATTGTAGACTTTGGGGCTCAAGCTCGACAGTTCGCCGTCAATAGGGCAGGTTTAGGGCGACCTGCGCGTAGTGTCCGCCTGCGCTCGCTACATGA